TGACTATACAACTGCCAATATAGAAAAAAATGGAAAACATTTAATGGAGGGAGAACACATATAGAAAAGTACAAATGTTTTGAGACACAGCACTTTTTCAATCTACAAAGCCTCAACCAGTCTCCCCCTGCTCAAGAAAGCACATGTACAGGCCTATCTGAAGTTTGCCAATGAACATCTGAATGATTCAGAGGAGAACTCGGTGAAAGTGTTGTGGTCAGATGAAACCAAAATTGAGCTCTTTGGCATCAACTCAACTCGCCATGTTTGGAGGATAAGGCATGCTGCCTATGACCCCAAGAACACTATTGTAACGGAGCTCCCAGTATATCCGACTGGGTACCTCCGCCAAAGGACCGCTTCCTAGCTGGACCAGGGGACAAACCACAGCACTTCTTGCCCTCAGTCGTCGTAGCTTGACTGGGGCCCTGGAACCGCCACCTCCCTCCTGGAGCCTGAAGGGGAAATTAGCTCTGACACCTCCAGGCACTGGATGACACTCAGTCCTGGGAACTCTGGAACCAGATGGGGAATTAGCTCTAGTCTTTACAAGGACTTTCCCCGTTGACTCTCCTGCAAGCTGGAACAGCAGACACAGGAGCAAATCTTCTTTCCCTCCAATAACTGGATGACACAGTTTTGGAGTGTAAGCAGGAATCTCAGTTTAATGGGACACACTGGCCTTTTATACAATTTTCTCAACAAGGTTGACGCCCTGGTGGACCTTGTGGGGCACAGTACACAAAACATACAAGCCAATAAAAACAGTGTAACAATGAACAACACTCCCACATACATTACACAATTCCTCCCCTCTGCCTGTGATACAATTAATGTAGATAATACAATAACCTAATTATCCACAGGCAGAAAAACACACATTTTCCCCAAAGTACAGAAAACACCCCAAAACATAAAATATCCACATACATATTACATCCTGATAGCCCTGATCTGGGTGAATAACATTTCCAAAAATCACCCAGAGCAGAGCAGGGGTTCAGGAAATTCCTGGAAGTCTCTTTTGACCGACCGCACGCATGATTTCATGCCCAAAACAGTTCCAGAGGATTAGGCTGTGCGGCCGGTCTATTTCGGTAGTTTGCAAACGAACAAACTACCGAACGGAGTCAATAGTCTTACCCTGGAGCTTGTTCCCTTCATCCAGATGAATGATCTCACCGAACAGTGCTCTTCTAAGCTGAATAGAAACAAATGCAGGCGATGATGGAAGTTCAGCGGTGTTCAGGAGTTTCTGTATCCGATTTCAGTTCCATGAGATTCATGCCCAAACACTGCTGCCTGCATTCATGCGAGCAAGATGGCTGCCACCTCGTGGTTCATAGAAATCGCAGCCACCCAGACGAACTATTAGAACACTGCGGTGAGAAACGTTCAAAGTTGTTAATAGGTATTAACAAGCTCCAGGGTCTGTGTTTGTGCGGTTGTTCGGTAAACGAACCATATAGTCCCAATTGCGTGAACAGAGCATGTTTAAAGTATATTAACCAATTCTGCTGCAGGGGCGTTTATCACAACCATCCCCACCATCAAACATGGAGGTGGAAACATGCTTTGGGGGTGTTTTCCTGCTAAAGAGACAGGACAACTGCACTGCATCAAAAGGGCGATGGACGGAGCCATGTACAGTAAATCTTGAATGAGAACCTCCTTCCCTCAGCCAGGGCATTAAAAACAACACACAGCTAAGGCAACAAAGGATTGGCTCAAGAAGAAGCACATTAAGGTGGCCTAGCCAGTCTCCAGACCTTAAATCCATAGAAAATCTGTGGAGGGAGCTGAACGTTCAAATACTTTTTTCTCTCACTGTGTATGTGGAAATGGATAGATGTACTGGTCCCTTCTAGATTAACCAAAACAAGTTATCACCCAGAGCTTGAATCTATATCCCATAGCTTGGATTTCAAGGCATCTACCGGTAGCTTCAACCAGACTCCTTTTTTAGACCAGTCTCCAACCACCAGGGATGGAGGGGTACACACCTACAAGACACATGCTCCTCACATGGAGCTTTACACTCAGAAAAAACAAGGACAGGGGGTAATTAATCTTTCTAACTATACTTTGACCTATACACAGACTATAGCTTTAAGAAAAGGATTGAACTTTGTACCCACATGTAGACTGATTGATTTAAAACACAAGCTGAATTGCAAAGGTATTTCATTCAATGAATCTTAAAGTGTTCTCTGCAGACCCAATTCGCCAGGAGCTGTGTCAAGAACAAGACGATAATCCTACATATTGTGTCTCCATTTTTTACTTTCCAGTAAACTTGATTTATGTAGACAAAAGAGTCTATTTTTCCTACTGTTAATAAACATGTTGTACATTAGGTAGAAAATGCAAGTTTGTTTATAATGGACTTTGAGGACATGATTACATACTCTGATACCCATCCCTTTGGACAGTTTGTGAACCATAAATTCTGCTATATTGATGATTGTTTGTTAATGTGTTCTGATACAGACAACTCTTTGGGACAATTTCTTGCGTATTTGAATTCCTGCCATACTAACATTCAGTTCACCATGTCATTTAACAAAGACAGTGTGAATTTCCTTGCCATTTTGGTGTACAAAATGGACCACGAGCTATGTACTGATGTACTGACCTATTTATAAAACTGACTTATGCTAATAGCTTTATACATGCTAAAAGTTTCCATCCAATTAATCAAACTTCATCTATTCCCTAAAGCCAAATGGTATGAGTAAGGGGCATTGTAAGTGATAACACTAACCTGGATCCCCTCCTGTTTACTATGATCTCTAAATTCAAAGAAAAATAGTACAGCACATGGACGCAGGCCAAGCCGAGACTAGAGAATTGCTCTTGGTGTAACCACGTTTCTTGCAGAGAACGAACAATAGACTACCATTTGTAAATACATTTTCGACTTCACTAACCTAATTAAAACCATAATTCAGAACATGTATCATATTCTCCAACTTGACAAAGTTATGGGACACTTGTTCAAATAACCCCTGTTGTTTGCCCATAAATAGGCCAACAACGGCAGTGATATGGTAGTAAAGACTAACACTACTCCTCTAATGAAGTAAAGATTCTTATGCAAACCAGTTCTTGAAATGTTCCCATTTCTCTCCTGCATTTATTGCAACAGGATCATTAAAGGAGATTAATGCACACACCACATGACAGGTCAGAAGATCTTTACAAGAGACTTCTTCACCTGCCAAACCAATTATGTAGTTATGTTGCCCATGTGGTCTAGGCTACCTGGCATAACTATTAAAGTCCTAAAGGAGAGAATTAAAAAAAAAAATATTGCCATAAGAAATGTATTTACTGACACATCTGTCTAGACATTTTCATGTCATGTGACACAATGCCTCACAATTGAGATACCAAATATTAGACATGTTCCCCCATTAAACAGGGGGGATAAATATAGATTACTACAGTGCCAACTCATGGTCTCAATGAGCAGCTGGGGACCTCTGACACGAGGTAAGTCTGTCACTATTGTTTCGTTGTATTTGTTTTTTATGCCATACTTGCTTGACCTTTTGTATATATTATGTTTTTAGCTTTACCACTGAAGTTTTGCTATTTCCATCTTCCTTACTCTTATTACATAATTTCTGTAACCTGGGTTCGCATAATCCCCGGTTTTAAACAGCCCTAGTGCTATGTTATGTATAGATCTTTCAAGAGATCTATGGCAATATACTTCAGCACAGAATGCACCTGTCATGGTTGAATATATTTATTACCTGTTATGTATTAAATTAATATATGTGTACATATATAGTTTGTATATTGTATTTTAGTGATATTGTATCCTATTGTAACAATGCAATGTTTTGTGGACAAAGACCCAGGACACACATGAAAACGAGAGAAATCTCAATGTATCCATCCAGGTAAAATATTTTATAAATAAATAAATAAATAAAATATAATTGAAATTAAGTGGTCTGGGTGACTTTAGTGGTCATTTAATGTTATATATTGCTTCACTAAGTGCTTCTAAATTAATATATTTCTATGCTGCTGTAGAATATATGGTTATAATTGGTTTCAATTGGTCTATTTCTAAAGTTCTTTCTAATGTAGTCTGGAAAGTAATTTGAATAACAACACACTATATTTTAAATGTCTAAAATACATATACATACCCCACAATCAATTCACACAATCAATTCACATTTTTGCTTCTGTTCCTCACCATAATCTCATATGTTGCAGGATGATCTTGGTTCAGGCTTTTGGTCCAGTCATCTGAGAAGATTTCACAGAAGTGGCACACCAGAGAAAATCAGTGAAAACCTCTGAGAAGACATGATACAGATAACAGATTAATGTTATGCATGAACAAGAATTTCTACATATGTGATCCGTAAGTCCAATCGATACTTCTAAGAGTATTCTAACAAATGCGTCAGACTGCTGGTGTGGACCCTGCAACAAAGACAGAGGCAACGCCACATCCACAAAATTCACACCCACAATCGGAAAGAAACGAGATTTCCGGCCGAGATCATGCAGAAATTCTGGGAATATTAAACCGGCCTGTACAACCTGGTCGAAATACCCAGCGAACTCACCCCCTGCACAACACCGGCACAAGCGTATGGGCTTCCTTACCAGGCATGTCACCCGTAAGCTCACCCCAGAAATGGCTGCAGATCTTGAACAACCCCAGCCCTCAAGCTATCGAAAACCAACAAGACACCGGGGCCAGACGGCCTCCCGGTGAGCTACATACGCACCTTTAGAGACAACCTATTACCACACCTACTAGAGGGCCTGAACTCTATCCTGATTGGACGGTAGTTCCCAGAGGACTTGCTTCGAGCAATAGTCACGGTTCTGCCGAAAGAGGGGAGGGATCTCGCTTGTCTCACTTGTTGTGCGAGCTACCATCCCATCTTCCTTCTGAATGCAGACCTTAAAGGACCACTCTAGGCACCCAGACCACTAGGCACCCAGTGGCTGTCAATGAGACAGCCACTAGAGGATTAGGGGGAAGGCTTAACCCATTCATAAACATAGCAGTTTCTCTGAAACTGCTATGTTTATGAATGGGTTAAGCCTTCCCCCTAATCCTCTAGTGGCTGTCTCATTGACAGCCACTAGAGGCGCTTGCGTGCTTCTCACTGTGATTTTCACAGTGAGACCACGCCAGCGTCCATAGGAAAGCATTATGAATGCTTTCCTATGTGACCGGCTGAATGCGCGTGCAGCTCTTGCCGCGCGTGCGCATTCAGCCCAGGAGGAGGAACGGAGGAGGAGAGCTCTTACACACACACTAACAGACACACACACTCACACTAAGAGACAAACACGCACACTAACAGACACACACACACATTCACTAACAGACACACAATCACTCACTAACAGACACACATTCACTCACTAACAGACACACACACTCACTAAAAGACACACACTTACTCACTAACAGACACACACACACACTAACAGACACACACTAACAGACACACACTCACTCACATTAACACACACTTTTTAAAAAAATATGTCCCTGGGTGTGCCCACCTTCCAGTAATGGGTTGACAGGGTGGACAAAATCAATGCAATGGAAACAATGACTGCAGTCTCACAGGGTCGCTCTGATAAGTGTACCCAGACATGGGCCTCATGGTTTATGTACATAACCGCGAATCATTCAAGCGCCAAAACTAACTCTCATTTCCCCACCCTGCCCCCTCACCCCTCTTTCCTTTTCCTTCCTTTCCCTTTTTTTCACTTCTCTGACCCCCTCACCACCATGACTGCCAACAACCCAACTGACCTGATCACTCTACCCCCTGGATTGGAGACGAACACTCACTCGGACGTTCACCACTCACCAGCAATACATCCCTAATCCGGCCTGAAGATCCTGTAGGACACAATTCCCAGCTACCACTACTCCCCTTCCATACCACATGTTACACAAACGTGCTACTGAACTATTGATCTATACTGTTGATAGACAAAGTATACGATTAAGGGTTGCTAGAAAAGAGAGCTACAGTTAGTTAAAGTAACATGATACAAACATGTACAATAAGTGGGACAACCCTTGTTCATGTTTCACTACTATGCTTGTTCTCTTGTAGACACATTCCTTTTATGCTTATACTGTAAGTAACCAAGATGTGTATTGTCCAGGCTTGTATACCCCGAGTTTTGCCCTAGTTGCATATAAGTTACATAAGACAAAGCTACAATAAAGAATGCCCAGAATACACACCACAACAACCCACGCACAGGCAGGGAGATACACGATACACCAGCACTGTCTTCCTAAATTCTACCCCTATAGGGTAACGTAATAGTTTCCTATGCGAGCCACCGGATAGTTTGGACATGCAGTTCCATAGACGCAGTTACACACACTTACATCTAGATGGACAACCTGGGTTGCACTTGTGCTCCTGCGCTAAATGAAATGATTACTCTATCTAAAAAAAAACAAGCCATATGTCTTTTAGATGCCAACATAACGCTCGGCAGCCGTGATTGTAACACAAGCTGATCCCATGTGTAACACTTTATGCTTATGCTTCCACCAATAACCCTGTATATGATTATGCATTTAACGAAACTGTCGATTCACCCACCCTAACTCTCCTACTTTATCTTTAATGCTACAAACAATTTGACTCCTAATGTCTACCTACAGCCATCAGAGAGATACTAATTTACTAATGCCTATCGACACTGTTATCTTGTATCTGCGCTCCTCAATATACATGTAACACGTAAAATGAAAAATAAAGATTGTCAAAAAAAAAAATATTTCTACATAGAGGCTTGTGAGCATTCTGACAGCATTCTGGTCATGAAGAGGGCTGGCTGTCATGTAGAGCACCTCAGCACCTCATCTCATACTTCACCCCTGCATCTTAGATTTCTTTATCTAAATGCTAGAAAGTAGATTCATGCTACATGCTTCTATTCTCTTTGCAATAAAAAGAATGTTCTGGTTTTCTTTGGAAAATTACAATTTAGAAAAATATGTGACTTTCCATGTATATTGAGTAATTGTAGGTGAAAATATGAACAACAGCAATTATTTTATTCATTCTTTGAAAAGCCGGCTGTATATACTCATTTTGCATGGTGGATATAATTCATGGTATTTTGGATGTAGAATGTTATCTAGATTTCACAGATATGCGTTTCCCATTTTATCTGTTTATTATCAACTGAGTTTCTTTTTCCAGATGAAGAATTGTGGATGTGATGGGAGAACAGATGTGGGTACTGGCTTTTTTTTCTCATTATTTTGAGTAATGCAGGAGCACATTGTCATCCTGACAGTAAATAATTGCAAAAAAAAGAAAAAAAACCCACAAAATACCACTCTCTTCCTGGGGATGCTAGCAGCGGCTACTTTCACAAAATTAAAGTTTTCTAAAAAAAAAAAATAGGTCATCTGTCACATTATAGGAAAATTGCTGAAATAGATGTATGACATTGATCTATAAACCTATGGAAAATAATAATTAAAGCTCACCAAAGAGATGGAAACAAATTAGGAGACAGGGCATTGGATAGAATATGAATCAGATATTATATGCACTAAATACAAATAATGTTCTATTCCATAGCGGAACCCTCCAAAAATTCATGGGATTAAAGGAACACTATAGCATTACATATATAAACAAGTATTGTTAACGCTATAGTGTCCTGCTGTCAGCTTAGGTCCGTCTAAAATGATGATTTACTTTCCTTTTCTCCCTCATTGCAGTGCTCTCTCCTTGGCCAGCTCTCTCTCTGTAGGAAGCCATTGAGAGGCTAGTTCATGAGCAAAATATCATACTGCTCTAATCAGTTGGTTTCTTTGAGACCAACTGATTTGAATACACAAGATTAACTTTGTCTGAGTGACAGTCAATGGTGTCATTTTAACCCTAAACATTGCTGTTCTTGCAAAACTGGCAATGATTTCAGTTACATGGTTAAAACAACTTTAACTTTAATAGCATTGCGTTTGCTTTTTTTTTTAGAAGCCTTTTTTTTTTTTTTTTAACTTTGCCCAAATAGACAATGATTTTTTCCATGACTATTTGTATTTAAATTCCTTCTGTCTCTACTTGTCATCTACATATTTCTATTTATCATTTAAGACACTGTGGATCGGATTCCAAAGCTCCATTGGCCTTTTCTTTTCATTATCAAGTTGACAGCCTTGCCCATTATTTACTGGGGCTCCCTATCTATTTGTCTTTCCATTACCATATGGAATAAAGATTTGTAATGAAAAACAAAAAAAGCAAACTAAACTGTTCACTTTAAAACCATGTTGTTATATAAGTTGTGTTTATATTAACCTTTCTCATATTTAATTTGTTAATTCAGTTTCTCTACTGTCGCTTATTACAGTCACTGAATGGTTGTTCCAGATAGATACCACTATTTATTTACAGTTGAAGTTCTTTATGTAATACTTCAACTCTATTATATTTTGGTGTTATCTTGCTTGTTCTTTATGTGTTATACTAATGCTACTGGAACAAACTTCATATACCATAATTTTCTTTTTACCACTGACTCTTTCTCTCTTACTTGCATGAAGACACTTGGGTTACAATGAAATAAGAAATGAAAAAATGAAAGAAATGGTGATGATATGTAAACAAAAATATGTAGACTGTATAGAGGTATAATTGCAATACAAATAATTTAACAGGATTCTTAACTATTGCAATAAAAAACAAAATTACAAAATAAGTACAGCATACAAATTTACAATTGTTGTGTTAATAAGTGATAAGTCATATTTGAAAGTGCTTCATTGTTAGTGTAACGAACACTGGTATTTCAGATACCCGTTCGTCCGTTTTCTCACGAACTGCTAGAGGCTGAGTGATTATAGCTCGCAGTTCAGGTGTTTATTTAAATGTTCTCCAGATGAAATACAGCATCCAAGTATATTCACCAAGCAAATCAGATGGATACCCAAACATCAGCCTAGACTAGATGAAGAGTACAAAAGGAAGGAATTTATTCAGGCCAACCAGCCGGTTTATATGCAGTTGCAAATGTACAGGGTTTGCGGTGACATATTCCAGGGGCATTCCCCACTGGACCTGAGAGGGGACAATGACAAAATACATTCTGCAGTTGCATTGGCTCTCAGGTCTAGGACACTCCTACATAAAACAATATAATCCTTCCCCTGTGCCTGGGAGATAATTGTAGATTATGCTAGCTTTAGTTTACCTATAATCTTAATTTTATTAATGACAGGAGGCGAGTATTTGCTTAAGTCTCTCTTTACTAGAACTGCACAGCAGCACAGAAAAAACAACCAATCAGAAAAATGTTAGGTACTATAAAACTCCCCTCCCCATGCCTTATTTCCTCTTTCAAGCTGCGACAAAACAGAACAAAAGGCAGAAAACATAATGGGGAAGAAACGAAGTCCTAGATATAATGAATACAACAATGTCCACCATCCGAGAAGAACTGCCACACCAGATAGTGTTGATGGACCGTAAACTGAAACGAGAGAAAAAACAGAATCGAACAGGTTGATTTTCCAATGAAATGTACTTTGAACAGGTACCCAATGTAGCAACCAAAATTACCATAACCTGCATAGATCCCAACCCTACTTATGAAAAACAGACATAAGAACAAGCGACAGGTAGCAGAGACAACAAGCAGAGTTACATACGTACCTGCTGAACCCAAGCTATAAAAATTAAACAAGGGAAATTAAACAAGGGAGGGATAAGAACGGGTGGGAAATACTCGCCTCCTGTCATTAAGGAAATTAAGATTATAGGTACACTAAAGCTAGCATAATCTACAATTTTATAACATGACAGGAGGCTTCGTATTTGTTGTTTTAACGCTCAGCCAACAATCCAACGCTGTTTGTTTCATTGGTACCTATTCTGTGAGATATAAGAGCAATCCTAAATGGATCTTCCAACTGCGAGAAGTGTCAGTAGATGGATCAATGAAGATGCTAACTGTCGAGGCACCCCAAAATACTGAAAAAACACCATCCGCTGGTAGATCCCTCGTACATGGGGTTGCGACATGTTTCCTAGCAGCTGGTCCATGAGCTGCCAAGCTGATCTATTAGCCATTTTCCTTAAGGCGTAAATACCTAAGGTCATTTGCAGATTTAGGGCCGCGAGAAGAAAACTGCACCAGGTCTTGACTATTGATGTGGAAGATGGCTCCACCGGTCACGCCAGGGTCATCCGGTGATGTGGCCTTGCAGGCAAATCTCCAACCTCAAGTAATGCGTCTAAGTCTACTACCAATTTAGTAACAGGAACGAGTAGGGTATTTTCGTTCCTTCACGACCTACCCAGTGAGTTGTCTCATCCGAGAATGAATTTATTATGCAGGCAAGGGTGCGGTCAAGACTAGACGTTTCCTAAGTGATTCCAGTAATGCAAATGCACTGTGTAACCCACGATTGCGGAAGAGAAGGAACTCCCAAAGGACGTCCAATCAGAGTCCCAAACTGAGCTTGTGTAGGGAGATCAACTACCCTGGGATTGTGAATATTGGGAATATCCAAAGGAAGGGAACGTAAACATGGGTTGAGGTTTCCATCCAGATATATCATCGAAGAGTGATAAGATGTCCGGATCCAATGGTAACTGGGACCTGTAACCAAGAAGAGTCCTTATGTGCTGTAATGAGAAAGTGAAATAATCCGATTTATTCATTTGTATGATCCTGGTCCATGCCTGACCCGTCAAAGTTCGTGTAGGAGCTCCTGGTCTGCACGGAACCTACAAGATAGGGTATAATATAGTGAGACCGTAGGTCCCTGTACCCCTGACTGTCCGGGCATGTATCTCCAAGAGAAGGCCCTAGGTCAAGGGACCCAGGAATGTGAATTCGAGAACCGAAGTCAAGGCATCCCTGTAGAAGAATACCTCCTTCTTAGCCTGGAGTCCCACAAACTCATAGCGTTCTCTAATACGCAGGCAAGACTTAAAGTCCCCTCACTCACGACAGGTGACTCCAAGGATTAGATATAAAGAAAAAATAAGGATTCAATCGTCCGAAGCAGGTGTTGTCCAGTTTGAGAACGTCGGCAGCCTTATCCGAGCCTGCTACACATCCTGAGCAGTGCTCCAGCGGTAGGTTGCGTCCCGACTAGTGATGTCCATGTAGGAGCTGGGGACACACAGGGTTCCTCCATAGAGTCCGAGTAGGTAGGTTAGCGAGAACCCAAAACCAAGACGGTTCCCGTGAGGGATTTAGAGTACAGAAGGAGGGCTCTCCAAATCCGAATCAAGTTCTCCCAATATGTTCTCAGAGGAATAGAGGCAGTCCTTCATCTTATCCCAATATTGTTAATGACCAGGAAAACCAAGTCGACCGAGGATTCCGGTCTTTCCATGCGATCCCTGTGTACGGTGCACCTGCTGACCTTCCCTAGTCTTGTTACTCAGCACGGCAGTGCACGTTTGCTCTATGAAGGCCTCAGGATCTCATGTCGCCTTGACATGGGAAAACTGTCTGCGCAGTTTGTTCGCAATGGTCTGCATAACCTAAACAGAGTGCGATTGCTTAGGTGCATTAGGTATAGTGCAGATTATATCAAAACCTGCACTCTTATAACAACTGAGGCACCTCCGTTAGCCGTACCGTCTCCAGGAGTACATCCACAAGGAATGGTCTAGGGTCACCAACAAAATGGGCCAATTCCAGGAGCTGAACCCAAGATGGCCAGTTCACATAGCCCCTATACTGTCCCATAAAGTCTCCAGGGTGTGTGTAAACAAGAGGGAAATCTCCCCCAGTAATACCTCTTAGAGTATTTCTCGCGTAGGATACAGTGTCCCGGATCCAGTAGATCCATTATAGGAGGTGAAATAGAGGAATCCAGTCTAAACATGTATACCCTGCACGAGCAGGCAGTCCTCTATAACTAAATCAGTAGCATGGTTGATAGATCTAATGTAGGGGTACTCTCCCCTTGCCCAGTTGTTCTGAAGCATCGTCTCCCTTGCATACCGGTGAGGTACTATACCCCTGTACCAGAACTGAAGCATCAGCTGTAAACTTGGTATGAGGTACGGACCTCCATATTGAATGGAATGCAGGAGGGACACCCCAGTCATCGTTGTCCTGTGCAGGTACAAGCCTGTGTGATGAACAAATGGATGACACCGTAGTGCGTTGAGTGTATGAGAAAGAGAGCCGCACTCTCTTATAATGTAACCGAACTCTGTCAGCATCCAGCTGATAGCATGAACGGGCTGCACTCATTAATGACAAAAATTAGAGCCTACCTCCGTGTCCGGTTCCTTCTTATGAGAGTGTGTCACACTCAAACCTGTCCTCTGTATACCTCTCAGTATTGGCTGAGGTTGATGGAGGTCCGTGCCCTCTAATAAGGAATCAGTGTCCGGTTCAGAATCTCGTGTAAATAAAAATATCAGTCTCGGGCGGAGGAGATGGAGGACTGCACCCTCTTGTAATCCAAACTAGAGTCCATATCAGACTCAGGGTGATCGACTGCAGTGGTTCACCATTTAATGGTATCAGCGTAGGACTGGGATCCTGAGGAGGGCCCCTCTCTTACCACGAGACCTCTCTCTGAATCACTCACTTTGGAAACCATGATGCAATCTACCAACGGACCGCCCGGATCCCGTGCGCGTGCGCGGGATCCAGGATGACAGTCGGTAGTCTGAGGAAAGCTGGAGACATTCTCTGCAATCCACGAGAGCCCGGGAGGTCGGAGGAGGTCAAGTCAGGCCTCTCGATGACCCAAGCGATAGGTAAAAGGGAAGGCACGAAAACAAAGAAAACGATAATAAAATAGATAAAGGTAAATAAGTACCTCAGAGAGAAGGTAAATAGCAGACCGGAAAAGCAGGTCAAGTAAACCCCTGAAAAGGGCCAGGAGCTAAACATGACGCATACCTAAGATGGATACCGGAAGGCAGCTAAAGGGTTAGTTGCTAAAGACAAGGAAACACCGTGCTCCCCTGACGTCTGAGCACTGGTCCTTTCCTGTGCAAAATTCTCCTTGGAGATGTGGCGTCGCCAGGCTAGTGAAAACTGTGGTTGCATGCCCGGGGATCTTCATAAAAGCCTTGCCTCTCAGGGCATGAGGTTTAGGGCCTTCACCCTTCCAATCATACTTAGGTGCCCGTAAACTGGTGCCCAATTGAATAGTATGACAGCAGTGCTTACCTTGACACTCACCTTTCTCCCTGTCAATAGTGGTTACTGTGCTTACCTCAGTGATATTTCCCCCCAGGCCTGTGGCCAGAGGGGGGTTCGGGCACAGATAGATCAGGCCAACAACGAGCACAGATCGAGTAGGCCCGTCAGGAGGGCACAGACATAGCAGGCCAATTGAATGGGCACAGACATAGCAGGCCAATCAATGGGGCACAGACATAGCAGGCCAGTCAATGGGGCAGAGACATAGCAGGCCCGACAATGTGGCATAGACCTAGTAGGTCAGTCAGAGGGGCACAGACAGAGCCGGCTATACACAGGTGTTGTGTTCCGACAGCTGCAAGGACCAATATGCGTGGGTAGAGTCCCCTATATATGTCTAATGAAAAGCAGGGGGACCTTGGTCAAAATAACTCCAATCTGTAAAACCCACTAGCAGGGTAGGAATGTGTCTATAGCGTTATACCGGAACTGGTAGACTTTTAAAGTCTGCGGCCAAAAACAGGGATATCCAAGCTGTAGGAACCACAGAGTGGTACATGGTGTATTGCCCATAGACTGTCTTCCAGCCCAGTCCAAAAAAAAATAAAATATATATATATATATATATATATATAAATATGGTAACTCATAGCAATGTTGTCACCTAGGCTGTCCCTTTATTGAAGGTATTAGCTTATAACTGTATGTAGTCACCATAGAGGACTATATAGACTTGCAGTCAATGGTATGTACACAGATCCCTGGGTTATAGATAAACACTGAGCAGGGTGGGGGGGATCCTCATAGATTGCCAAAACCTTAGGGCGTGAACTGAATAAGGCCCTGATTCACAGAGGGGAGGAAGCCCCTCCAACAGACCTCAACGAGCAAGGGATCGATGGGGGAGGGGCCGCTGAAGTCAGCCTCCTGAAGTCCCCGAGTGGCACATACACCACCAGGAAAAGGCAAGTCCAAGGGGGTGACAGAAGGACCCCAAAGACCCCCACAAACCCAAACAATAGTTGATAAATGAACACAAACAGTGATAGTCTGAAGTATAGGTAACTAAGAGAATCCTACAAGATTATTATTACAATACTGCATATAGGGATACAATCCCACAAAGATTATTACAATACTGCATATAGGGATAAAATCCCACAAGATTATTATCACAATACTTCATATAGGGATAAAATCACACCAGGTTAAAATAAATTACTGAAAATATAGACTAAATCCCACAAGGACAATATAAAATACTTAGTATATAAGCAATAAAACCCAAAGCCACCCACTAAAAGCAGGAGGCAGTGGTACTCTGACCTGTACTGACTGCGGAGCAGCAAAGAAAGAGGAAATGAGGCATCGGGAGGGGAGTTTTATAGTACCTAACATTTTTCTGATTGGTTGTTTTTTCTGTGCTGCTGTGGAGTTCTAATAAAGAGAGACTTAAGCAAATATGAAGCCTCCTGTCATGAAACCCCACAAAAGTAATATACCCTGATAGCCCTGATTTGGGTGACCAACATATTAAAAAAATCACTCAGATCGGTTCAGGGGTTCGGGAGTTCCATGGAAGTCTTAATTTGGCCGACCGCACATGAGGCTCCTGCCCAGAAAGAGTTCCATGAAAATAGGCTGTGCGGTCAATCTCTTTAATGAAGTCTAAAAAAATGAATAAATCCATGAACGGTTCCCGTGGCTCATAGGTAGCGTTTGTTACCCTAGTTCATAGGAACAAAACTACCGAATAGCGCTCTCCTGGCTGGTGGGTGAAAAGCAGCAGACGTTTGCGAAATTGACCAGCATGGGAAGTCGAGTGTCTGATTTTAGTTCCAGACACTTGACAACCAAGTCCTGCTGCGACAGATGGCCGCCGTTTTCTCCTGCTAGTGGCATTCAGCTATACGAATGGCGGCCACACAGAGAGCACTTAATTAGCAGTCTTCTTTGTACTTAATGAGCCAGGGGGGTGGTCGGTGTTTGGTAGTTTTATCTACAGAATGAAGAAAAATCTAAATTACTGAACACAAAGTGTAGTTTCTTCACAGTCAGATTTTAAGTACTGGTGATTTTACGGGTTAACAAGCTCCTATCCGTGATTGTCACACTGTAGAGACACAACATGATTTATTCTGGATTCTATTTATCCCATATGTACTAGAGTTATTAGTCTAGTGCCAGGAATGTCAATAAGAAAAAGGTTACTGTTTCATTTCGATGGCGATGACAAGTACGTGGTGAATAATTAAATATACACTTTATGTATCATAACCACTGTAGTGTATTGTATTGAGTAGGGTTTCCTGAGGGAGTTAGTGTGGTTATATAATTTAATCTTCACTTTCTTTTCATTCTTACACACAACTTTTAGACTCAAATCCTACCCTCTTACAATGTTTTATAAATTTGGAGAAGCATGGCTTTTACCATTCACCTTTCTAAGTACTTGCATGTTCTGAACTTTCAGAAACACTTAATTTGCACTTGAGGCATAGCATTGGTATCTACATTGCTCAGTGCACAGCAGTCGCATGCACTCCGACAAGTTAATTTCATAGGTATCTGAGAGCATTAAATAATCAGATGGGGATGCACTCACAAATTCATTTAACAATAACCACTACATTAATTTGTATTCTCACACATGTGTGGGGATACAGAATAAAGGCTCTGCAGACCATTTGATGCCTGTGGAATCTTTTTGCACAAGAATGCAGGTTCCTCAAAGATGTGGCCTGTGAGATCTGCCATTGATTTTTTACTTACACGAACAGGAGGGTATAATAGCGGAAATACTAAAATAAATTAATTTATAATTAATATAACTCCTTACTAGGTTTTATTTTATTTGACTTTCTTATCTACCAGGACAAAAACATATATTCACCATATTGACTGTGGTGGACGAAGTACAATTTCCTAGGGTTGCCTGAACTGATATTGGAATTACCGAACAGAGTCGTATCCTCCAGTTCAGTAACCGAACAGAGTGAGTGTGGTCCCCCCCTTTATTGACTCAGACCCCCAACCACTGACCACCCCTGGCTGTTAACCACAATTAAAGGATTCACTTGAGTGCTTTCCCTGGGTGACGTACAATTAGTATTACCGAATGCACGTGGTCCAGGGCATGGCGGCCATTATGTCTCCCGAACGCAGGCAGCGGCAGTTTTTTTGAGCATGTCTCCACGAACCAGGGCAAAGATGGTACCGCTACCCGTCCCCCTTCCCAACCAACTAGATGAACGGCGTTCGGGAGATAGGAACTATTGAACAGGGGGAGCATTTGCTCCATAGCAGCCAGGGGGAGCATTCATCAGTGTTTGCACAGGAACCCCCAAAAGCCCCAAATTTTGTTAGAACATAACTTTTGTTCTACTGAACCGATCTGATCGCTTTTTGGATATGTTGTGCGCTCAGATCAGGGCTATTCAGGAATATGCATATGTTGTGAGGTTTCTGTATTCGTTTCATGTATTTTTGGGGTATGTTAAAAATATATGTAAGTTTCTGTATTTGAGAGATAATAGAGTTATCCTAATTTGGGCTCAATTATCTTTATTTGGAAACCCCATTCTAGGGGCAATGCATAAAAGTGGTGTGTGACAGAATAAACGTCAGTTGACTCCCAGAACTGTGTCGTCCAGTTTTTGGGGGAATCGGCTATATTCACTAAACAGTGCTTCCCTTCCAGCTTCAGAGAATTCCAGTGGAGATATTCAGTCTCAGCATTGCAGCTCCGAAACATTGACAACTAAGCAACTATCAACAGATAAAGAAATTATAAAATAGAGGAGAGTACAAGGGTAAGAATAGAACAACAAATGCTTACTATGATTTTGGTTAAAAATCTAGTGCAAATAAGAGGCAGTTTTGAATGAAAAGCAATTTATTTTTATTTAATGTTGCTAAGCGACAAGTCCATTTTAACTTTTTTCAGTTTTATAGTTTGTGCTTTTTCAGTTTCACATTGACCCATATATAACTGATATGAACACACATGCCTTCAGATCAGCTTTCCACAACCTGGTAGGTTTTGTCCTGGTAGATTCATGGTTTTATGGCAGATTTAATGGACTCACACAGCTTTCATTATTATAATTTACATTCCCATTACTCCAGGACTGTGTGAGATGAACAATTAAATTATTATAGTCAGTGTGAACAGTAAAACATGAATTAAATAGAAGCACAATTTAATTTAAGAAAATACAAAATATGATCTATTTTTCTATAAGCCATTCTATTATTGCTAGTTTCCATAGATCATAAAGTATGTGCAAATGTAGATTTTAAGTTCAGGTTTAAAGATAATACTTAATTATTTTAGATTGATTCATGGATGAAGATTGTTTTTTTGGGGGGGAAATAAAAGGTTTTCAAACGGAGGTTGAGAAGTCATAGGGGAAAAAGAAAACAGTAAATTGAAAGAGAGCATCAATAACATGAGGCTGTACAGAGGCTTATTCACGCAGAAATTAATTTGATATAACTGAAGTAAATGAGTCGTTCACTGTTTATATTTCCAGTCAGATGGGATTTTTGTTTTTCTTTTCGGGCAAAGCTGTGAAGTGCTGTAATTTACTTGGAGCAAAAATCATCTTAATTATTCATCAAGGTGAAATCTGTCCTGTCGGGAACTGTGTGTGTCATTTCCTTTGTATTAGCTAATAATATACTATGTAAATCAATGCAGTACTTATTATTACAAACAAAAACCTGGCATATTGCTGTGCATGCACAATAGCCTCCCAATGCGTTCCTATGGGAAAGCATTGGATTGCGAGATCATCAAGATTGATGACCTCAGCCATGAATGGACTGCGGCAGGGTCAGTCATGGTGAGACCGGCATGTATAGGGAGTAAATATGAGTTAGACACATTTTCACTGTTCTGCCAGGGGGTCCAGGGACTTAAACTGCCACACCAGCACTACAGTGTCAGGAATACATATTTGTATTCCTGATACTATAATTTTCCTATAAGTAGATTAAAATCTACCAAAGAGCAACTAACTTAAAACCAAGACAGAGTGTGCACCCAAGGCAGAATATTCTTGTTTTGTTCCTTTCAAAAATATTTGTTTGGCCACTGCTAATCAGATTTAGCACCTAAATTCATGATGCCATAATTAGTCTTCAACTTGACTGAAAGACATGGATTTATATGGTGAACTGTGATGGAGTTTAATACATCCCCTTCAGAAAATTGCTAATAATACTGACATAAGTTAATGCCAAGAACAAGCTGTGGAATCACTGCCTTTACCCTTGCTTGAAAAAAAAAATAAATGGACTAAAATGAATTCCCACTGAGAGTTTTTATTCACATCATGTTTTAGAAATATTCCTGTGTGTGGTCTAGTTTGTACACTCCAATGCGCAACAGTTAAAGATAGCAAAAATATTTAAATGATCATCATCTGTCACACTACCTAAACTCACGTAATGCGGTACATTTGGTGTTCAATATTTTTTATTTCTTGGTATTAACACCATATGTGTATAAAAGTGCCTTGTGCTCTAACATTTTTACAGTAATAGTCTTTTTTACTTTGAGCAATTTTAACAGTATTAGGTCCCACCTCATCAAGGTTTTTATAGACTGTTCTTTGAAGTCACCATCTCATGAAGATTTTGATGTTTGTCCATTTTCTGGATTTAACAGTTCAGCAATATCCTTTCAAAGTTGTTTTGTTTTTATGCTTGAGCAGTATATGTTTTATTGAATATATGTTAGACTTGTGCAGGGTGAATATGTTGGATCTGCCAAAACACTATGGTTGAAAAATAAAATACAATTCTGGTTGTCAAAAATTAGATAATGTCGTTGTTTGGCTTGGCCAAATTTGGTTCTAAAAAAAAAACTAGGGAAATTTGAATAGCAAAAGTATGAGGTAAACAATAGACTATGACTGTGCTGGCATGCAAACATTACTACAATAGTGACTGGCCTAATGGATCTTTTTTTTTTTTTTAAAGACCTTCCACACTGTAGGCAGTCAACTGCAGCCGCATTCATTTTCATGCCGTTTTTGTTTGTCAGAATAATTTTTCATGAAACCAACGCATGGCCAAAGTTCACCTGAACTTAAGCACACCATGGATAATCGTCTTAAACTCCTGATAAATCGATTGTATAAACCTAATTGTTTTACCATGCATAATTCCATTACATAATATTAGTTCATCCTCCAAAACCACCACCATTTATGATTATATGCATGTTTTTGCTTATACACTGTTTATGTAAATATAAATGTAATTTACCCACACAAGATATATTATACTATTTGCTTGGACATGGAAACAACTTTCACCAGGAATATGTGCATTTAAAGGATCACTATAGGGTCAGGAACAGAAACATATATTCCTGACCCTATAGTGATAAAACCACCATCTAGCCCCCCTGGGCCCCTCATGCCTCCATAAATATAGCAACATCTTACTGTATTCAAGCCTGAAGGTGTAACTCTGCATGCTGTTTGCCTCAGAAAAACAAGCAGTCCACTGACATCATCAGAAGTGGTAGCCTAAACCAATCACAGTGCTTACCCATAGGATTGGCTGAGACTGACAAGGAGGCAGATCAGGAGCAGAGCCAGCATGATTCAAACACAGCCCTGGCCAATCAGCAACTCCTCATAGAGATGAATTGAATCAATGAATCTCTATGAGGAAAGTTCAGTGTCTGCATGCAGAGGGAGGAAATACTGAATGTTTGGATGTATTTTAGGCAGCCATGACCCAGGAAGGATCTCGAACAGCCATCTGAGGAGTTGCCGGTGAAGTTATCACTAGGCTGTAATGTAAATACTGCATTTTCTCTGAAAAGACAGTGTTTACAGCAAAAAGCCTGAAGATAATGATTCTACTCACCAGAACAAATTCAATAAGCTGTAGTTGTTCTGGTGACTATAGTGTCCCTTTAATATGTTAAATGGTACCATTTAAATCTTTTTGTTACTATGTTTTAAATATGTCACCTTTCCTTTAACATAGTTTATTTGGTTGTTTCATGTACTGTATATACTTTCATTTTTGCCTTTATCCCTCAGGCTCTAAAAGTGCATCCTTCCATGAATATTAATATTAACTTCGGCAAAAAGTTTGAGTTCGGCATTAAACTTGACCCGAACTTTACCCTGAGCCCGAACCGCATTGAAGTCAATGGGGACCCAAACTTTTGGCCTCTAAAATGGTTCTAAAAAAGTCCTAGAAAGGGCTAGAGGGCTGCAAAAGGATGTAAAATGGATTTAAGAGTAGGACAAGTGCCCCGGAAACAAATGTGGATAGGGAAATAACTTAAAATAACATAAAATACATTAAAATAATAATCTTGAACTAGGATCGTGAGGCCCCGCTTTCACTGTCTGTATTCATACTGAAAATCAAGATCAAGCAAGCTTTTGCCCTTCTGCTCCGCGGGAGGTTTCTGTCCTCCCTGAGCTCGCCTTAGGATACCTGCGTTACGGTTTAACAGGTGTACCGCCCCAGTCAAACTCCCCACCTGCCACTGTCCTCAGAGCGGGTTGCACCCGGCATGCGCCAGGCGCTTGGAGCCAGAAGCGAGAGTCCCTCGGGGCTCGCCCCCCCTGCCTCACCGGGTAAGTGAAAAAACGATAAGTCCAAATGTAATATGAACTAGGAGGAGGAGGTGGATGTGGAGTAGGAGGTTGAGGAGGCGGTGACCGTGGCAGTGTAGGTGGAAGCGGCGGTGGAGGAGGAGGAGGTAGCCAACACTGTTTTTTATTTTATTTTTGCTTTTTTTTAATTGGGGTAGCCCCCAAAATATTGGGACATATAAAAAAGAATAAGTGCACTTGAGTATAACAATGGCTGGGTGAGGCCGGTATAAATGTCTATTTTGCACAAGGTACAGACAAGTCTGGTGGGATCCATGCCTGGTTCATTTTAATAAACGTGAGCTTGTGGACAGACTGCTGCGCTTGTCTGTGATAACGCCTCCTGCCATGCTAAACACACGTTCAGACAATACACTGGCTGCAGTGCAGGCCAGTACATCCAAAGCATAAAGGGCAAGCTCAGGCAATGTGCCCATTTTGGAGATCCAGAAGTTGAATGGGGCAGATCCATCAGTCAGTACGTGTAGGCGTGTGCACACATACTGTTCCACCATGTTGCTGAAATGCTGCCTCCTGCTAAGATGTTCCATATCAGCTGGTGGTGCTGGTTGTTGTGGTGTGCTGACAAAGCTTTTCCCCTTTTTAGCCATGCTAACCCTTGCCTTCTGAGGTGCTGGCGGTACCCCAGCTGCGTTGGTGACCTCTTCCTCCTCCTTTCGCCTTGTGCTTCCACTGAGCCCCCAGTGTCAGTTGAGAATGCACTCAGCAGCGCATCTACCAGCGTTCGCTAGTAGTCGCGCATCTTCTGATCACGCTCCAGTGAGGGAATTAAGGATGGCACATTGTCCTTGTAACAGGAATCCAGCAGGGTGGCCACCCAGTACCCAGCACAAGTTAGAATGTGGGCAACTTGGCAGTCATTGCGCCGGCACTGCAGAATGTAGTCGCTCATGTGTGCCAGGCTGCCTAGAGGCAAGGACAAGCTGTCCTCTGTGGGAGGTGTATTGTCTGCGTCCTCCATGTCCCCCCAGCCACGCTCCAGTGATGCCCACGAGCTGCGTTGGGTGCCACCCTGCTGTAAACATGTGTCCTCCTCCCCCTTCTCCTCATCCTCCTTCTCCTCATCCTCCAGAACTGTGCCCTGGCTGGACAATTGTGTACCTGGAATATGCTTGTGCAGGAACCCAGCCTCCGAGCCACTTGTGAATGACTGGCCTGATAACCGTGGAAATGACCCCTCTTCCTCCTCCTCTTCCTACTGTGCCACATCCTCTTCCATCATCGCCCAAAGTGTTTTTTCAAGGAGACATAGAAGCAGGATAGTAAGGCTGAGAACGGTGTCATCGGCACTGTCTATGTTGGTGTACTCGAAACAGCGCAACATGGCACACAGGTCTTGCATGGAGGCCCACTCATTGGTGGTGAAGTGGTGCTGTTCCGCAGAGTGACTGACTCATGCGTGCTGCAGCTGAAACTCCACTATCGCCTGCTGCTGCTCGCACAGTCTCTCCAGCATGTGCAAGGTGGAGTTCCACCTTGTCGGCGCGCCGCATATTATTCGGTGAGCGGGAAGGCCGAAGTTACACTGTAGCACTGACAGGCGAGCAGCAGCAGGGTGAGAATGTCGAAAGCATGCAGCAGCAGGGTGAGAATGCCAAAAGCGCTCACAGAAGGCCTGCACTTTCTGCAGCAGCTCTGATATATCTGGGTAGTTTTTCAGGAATGTCTGCACCACCAAATTCAGCACATGCGCCAGGCAAGGGATGTGCGTCAAACCAGCTAAGCCCAAAGCTGCTATGAGATTTCGCCCATTATCGCACACCACAAGGCTGGGCTTGAGGCTCAGTGGCAACAACCACTCATCGGTCTGTTGTTCCATGCCCGTCCACAGCACCAAAAAAATGTGAATTTCTCAAAGTGCGATGTAACCACAGTATTTGATGGTTCTATTTGACTCTCAGATATGAAGTGCATGCCCCAAATTTACTTTTTAGCACCAAAAAAAAAGTGAATTGGTGTCATGGCACAGCCCAAGCCCTACTCACAGCAAGGTGTGGCTGCCTGTTTGAGAAACCTGGCTGGGTTTGGACTCACAGATCCAGCAGTCCAGTCAGGTTCTTTGATGTGCTGTCCACCAGGGGGCTTCAGTTTCTGTTTGTATTTTTCTGCTTCCTGACTCCCTTCCCCTGGATTAAGCAGTGCTGACCCACTTGCAGCCCTTTTCCAATTAGGGTCAGCTGCATCTAAACAGCAGGCTGTAAAAGCCAGCCCTGCCTGAAACCTAGCATCTGGTCATTTTGCCTGTTTGGTGTCTCCTGACGGATCTCTGATTCGCTACTGACTGATTTCCTGGATTCTGACCTTTGCCTGCTTTACCGACTTCATTACTCTGCTGCCAGCCCTGACTTCTGCTTCTCATCTGACCCTGCCTTTGGATTTTCCCTTAAAGGACCACTCTAGGCACCCAGACCACTTCAGCTTAATGAAATGGTCTGGGTGCCAGGTCCCTCTAGGATTAACCCTTTTTTTATAAACATAGCTGTTTCAGAGAAACTGCTATGTTTATAAATAGATTAATCCAGCTTTTAAAGCCTCTAGTGGCTGTCTCATTGACAGCCGCTAGAGGCGTTTGCATGCATCTCACTGTGAAAATCACAGTGAGAAGAAGCCAGTGTCCATAGGAAAGCATTATGAATGCTTTCCTACGAGACCGGCAGAATGCGCGCGCAGCTCCTGCCACGCATGCGCATTCAGCCGAAGAGGAGGATCGGAGGCGGAGAGGAGGGTGAGAGCTCCATGCCCGGCACTGAAATAATGGTAAGATTAACCTCTTTCCTCGCCATCCAGCCCGGCGGGAGGGGGACCCTGAGGGTGGGGGCACCCTCAGGGCACTATAGTGCCAGGAAAACGAGTATGTTTTCCTGGCACTATAGTTGTCCTTTAATCTGTACTGCGCTTTTGGTTTTTGACTCCTTCCTGTGCCCTCTCCTGCAACTGGGCTCCAACTCCCGGTAAACACAAGTTCCCTGGTGACTGTTACAATTGGTCAAACTGCGATATAACCACAATATTTAACTCTCAGATATGAAGTGCACACCCCAAATGTCTTTTTAGCACCAAAGAAATGTGAATTTTTCAAAGTGTGATGTAATCACAGTATTTGACGGTTGTATTTGACTCTCAGATATGAAGTGCATGCCCCAAATTTACTTTTTAGCACCAAAAAAATGTGAATTTGTCAAACTGCAATGTCATAGCAGTATTTAAAAATGCCTAGATGTTGCCCACTGAGCTACCAGAACAGGAATAAAGTAATGTGCCTGGCACACATACACTTGCAAAAATAGCCACCGATGCTCACCTAACAAACAGACTGATTGCTTATTTCTCTGTGGCACTGGGCTCAGGGAAGGGTACAAAAATGTAGTATAGCACCCACAAAAATAATCACTGTAGTTTGCAGATTCAACACCAGAATTCTTTCCTAAGCTGTCCCTCACAGCTGCAGCATCATCTCCCTACACTAATAAGAGCTCATGTGACGTGCGACGCTGCGTGACTCTAGCTTATATAGATGCTGGGTAACATGCTGCACTGGCCAATCACAGCCATGCCATTAGTAGGCATGGCTGTGATGGCTTCTAAGGGCACACGAGTCAAACGCTTGTTGATTGGCTGCCCTGCAGCTTTTCAGAACGCGCCATTAAATCACAACTCTAATTGTATGTAGTTTATTACACATATTTATTTGTATGGAGCTTTCTCAAAATTTTACATTTTTGAGTTTTGAAAAGGTTCCCTTGTAAAAGAAATGAATGAGTCAATCACACAGACTTATACTTATGACACAAGTGCTGTAATCCTGCTGCAAACAACTGTTCATACAGAAATATGGCAATTTAAATATACCCACATACCACAATGGGTTAGGAAAACAAACAGGTGTGTTACAATACCTCTAGAACAGGGGTGGCCAAAAGGTAAATCCCCAGATGTTGTAGAACTACAACTCCCATGATGCTTTGCATGCATTTAACAAGAATATGTTTGTGGAATCCACCAGTAATGGTTTAATCCTCAAGGGACAGACCTCCAGTGGATTACAGAAAACACCTAGACGGACACTCCAGGGGTGTCCTGGGGCTTAACCCCTAAATAGACAAAAAAATTCTAAGTAAAATCACTGGAAAACCAGTGATTCGAACCTATACTGGAATTATGATGTAGAATAGTAAATATTAATTGGTAACAAAATATATACAACACAACCTCTTATTCAGATTGAAAGGTCATCCCAGTGTGAAAAAAAGTGTGAAAACAGCCTTTTAGGCAAAACCTCCCTTGTACTAATCCGTGACTACAATATACTATAGACTACTGACTTTATATTTATTTGGTCAAAGTCTAATTATAGTATAAAATATTCATCACAAGATTCACGGAAAAAAGTATCTAATTCCAAGCATACTGCCTGTTAACATCAGAATTGTGGGATACTCATTGTAACAGTATAGTATCAATTTCTAGATAGGAGAATGTCTAAATATCCATATTTAACTAAATAGCTTGTTTGAAGCCCTATGTACACTAAAATTGCTATAATAGCAATAACTAAGTAGTTAAACTGAAAGGATATCTCTCAGACTAATATGATGAAAACAGGTGTTCAGTCTTTTCACCTGTTTTCATCATATTAGTCTGAGAGATATCCTTTCAATCTGGATTGTGTTGTATATATTTTGTTATTACCAATTAATATTTACTATTCTACATCATAATTCCAGTATAGGTTCGAATCACTGGTTTTCCAGTGATTTGACTTAGAATTTTTTTGCATGCATTTAGAATGACATAGCATCATGGGAACTGTATTTTAAAAACATCCGGCACTCCTGCTCTAGAACATTTTTCATACTGTTGGCCCTGACACTAATAGAATAGGGATCATTTCACAGTATTCTTAGGTAGTAGGGACCCAGAGATTCCCACT